CTGTACTTAATTAAGTAGAAACAGTCATCCTATTTTTTGAAAATGTATGAAAATCTTAACCCAAAAACGAATCACCCATGATGTAAGATTGTTGTATTGGCATTCCTAGAGTTAGAAGTTAGAACACATCGCTAACGGGTCAAATGGTTTTATGAGTCTTTATAATAGTTTGTTGATCCAAAACATCGAGAATAGATGAAGAATAAATTAAAATAAATTGATCCATTAGATGGTTAAAGTGGACAGCATTATGATTTTAAAAATAAAATATTGATATCATATGCTTTTCATAGGCAGAAGATGACAAAGTAGAGAATCTTATAAATCACCTCCTAATTCTGCAAATCTTGTCTTGTTTATTTAAAGCCCAAAAAATGTTAAAAATTCCATTAAACTATTTCCAAATTTTCTTCAATTCTCATATTCAAGTAATCCTATATCCTTCAAATTGTCTTATTTTCTTCGGTGTAGTCCAATTAGCTTAAGCCCTTCACATCCTATATATATCTGCACTTCTACACTCACTTCTCCAATACATAGCAAACAAGGAAGAGAAAGAAATGGAAGCCATGATTTCTTACCTATTAGCTCTACTATTCCTTCCTCTATCTCTCACTTTCATCTTCTTCCTCCGTAAACGCGATTTGAATAGCAAGAAACTTCCACCAGGAACTTCTGGATGGCCATTGTTAGGAGAAAATATGGAGTTTGCCTTATTAGGTCCTGAGAAATTCATTAAAGATAGAATGGAAAAGTACTCACCTCAAGTGTTCCAAACATCAATAATGGGAGAGAAAATGGCTGTGTTTTGTGGTGCACAAGGGAATAAGTTCTTATTCTCAAATAAGAACAAACTTCTCACATCCTGGTGGCCACAATCAATGAAAAAGGCATTGCTTTTCCCTGAATTTTCTGAGAGTTCATTGAAAGAAGTATCGGCTTTACAACGCAGTTTTCTACACGATATTCTCAAGCCTGAGGCTCTAAAACAATACATTCCAGTTATGGATTGTTTGGCCCGAGATCATCTAGATGAAAATTGGATTCCTAATAATGGAGTAGTCAAGGTTTTTCCATTGTCAAAGAAGTATACATTTGATTTAGCGTGTCGATTGTTCATGAATTTGGTAAATCCTGAGGAAATAAAAAGGTTAGCTGATCCTTTCACTCTTGTTACAAACGGAATATTTTCTATGCCTATTGATTTGCCCGGAACAGCTTATAATCGCGCTATCAAAGGCGGGAAAATGGTTAGGGATGAACTTATGAGGATCATTACACAGAGGAGAAAGGAATTACAAATGGAGAATAAAGAGACAATAGCAGGAGGCAGAGACTTGTTGTCAAAAATGTTGCTTGTTACTGATGAAAATGGAAGGTTTATGAGTGAAATGGAGATCTCCAACAATATAATAGGAATGCTAGTGGCAAGCTTTGAGACTACTAGTAGTGCAGTCACTAGTGTTTTGAAATATCTGGCTGAACTTCCCCACGTCTATGATCAAGTTTACAAAGGTAAATTAAACATGTCTTGGAAAATGAAAATCTAAATGTTATATACCTAATTCATAAATAGGTAAAGTACTTAAATTGGTGGACAAATCTACTAGCTTGTTTGGCCAAGTTTCTCCGTAGCCTAAAGTATTTTTTTTCCAAAATTGAAGGTTTGGCCAAGCTTTTAGATGGAAAAAACGTATTTTTGAGTAGAAGAAAAAGTAGTTTTAGAGAAGTAGAAAAAATTAGCTTCCCCCCAAAAAACATACTTTTGAAAAGCGCTTTTGAGAAAAATACACTTAGAAGCAATTTTTAAAAGCTTGGCCAAACACTAATCGCTTTTCAGAAAAAAAAACACTTCTCAAAATAGGCTGATGTTAAAAGCTTGGCCAAACAGGCTATATGTCGAATATATTCACATGACAAAAAGTATTGTTTGATGACAGAACAAATGGCAATAGGAAAGTCAAAAGGAGAAGATGAGTTGCTAACATGGGAGGACATTGAGAAGATGAAGTATTCTTGGAATGTAGCTCGTGAATCGCTAAGGCTAAGTCCACCAGCTCAAGGAGCTTTTAGAGAAACAATCATTGATTGTACATATGCAGGTTTTACCATTCCAAAAGGGTGGAAGGTACAAAATTAAATACTTTCATTTTGTTACTAGCTATCGTCGTTTTTATCTACTAGCTTTAATGTACGTGCATTACACGTGTCTTTCGTGTTAATCAATATAGAATACATACAAAATAATAAATTGGTGCATACATTGAAACAATAGCTAAATTTTAGTATCTTCTATACATGCAAAGATGATAAATTTAGTTGAATTAGTTATATAATATTTGTAATTATAAATATTTTATTATAGTTATAAGATATAAATATGTATGTTGTTGTATCTCGCCTAATTTCTCTTTAGAATACAAGTAATATAAATTTGGACTATCAATTGACCAATGACACTAATAGCTTGTTTGGCCAAACTTCTAAAATCGGCTTATTTTGAAAGGTGTTTTTCGCAAAAATACTTTTTTAACAAGTACTTTTGGTGAGAACCAACTTGTGTTTGGTTATTAAATTTGAAAAGCACTTTTGAGCAATAATTAGTATTGACTTTGCTTTTAAAAATGCTTTAAGTGTATTTTTCTCAAAAATATTTTTTGAAAAAATACTTTTAGGGAGAAGCTATTTTTTCTGCTTCTCAACAATTCTTCTGCTCCTACACAAAAATACTTTTTTTCCTTCTAAAAGCTTAGCAAAACACTTTAACCTATAATGCTTTTGGTATTAAAAAAAAGCTTTTGGCCAAAAAGAAGCTTGGTCAAACAGGCTATAAGTATTTATATTACATCAGAATTTGCATAATGGTTATTTCATCAAAATATTATAAAACTTAATTACTGAATATATTTATCTAATTGTTTATCCTGTAGTGCGCTTCTACATTCCCAAATATATATTTTTTGAAATTCTAATCTATTAAATAATGCATTTTTTTTGTAAAACTCTAGTCACTGAATTAGGCCGATCTTGAGGAAGCTGTTCTTTAAAAAAATTCTAGATCTTTATCCAATCATATAAGTAGTTATTATTTTTCTTAATATGTTAAAAAGCTTGTAAAACTAAATACTAATTTAATGTTTTGAAACAAATTATGTAGAAAAATGATGCTAAGCTACTTTTATAATAAAAGAGATTAAAAGTTTAAAAACTTGCTCGACATAGAAAAAAAATACATTGTATATATTAGAGAATTACATATTTAAAGATTGATTTTTCTAATTTAGAGGAAGGTTCAATAAACAATATGTATTATGACTATAGAATATAAGTATAATTAATTTTTCATTTCCATGATGAATAATAATAAATCTGATTTATTTTGTCAAGTATCTAAACTAAATATTTTATGTAGGAAATAGTTAAATCTACTTTTTGTAAAATAAGAAATTAAATGTTAAAAACATGTTGTGATATTTTTTTTCTCGGGTAGAGTCTTGTTCTTAATTTTTTCTTTAATATTTATAAGTCTTTTTTTTACAAGGTAATGGAAAAAAAAATTTTAACCTAGATACATAGAATTCGTTCTTTCCAACTTTGTATAAAAAGTAAAAGAGGAACAATATAATCTTTATTTAGATAAGAAAAGCAATTTTCTTAACTTAAAAAGGTATGGTGGTTGGTAAAGAGAATATGGTTATATGGAATTAGTAAACAAAATATGGTTACTTGAATGTAGTTTCTGGTTATATGAAATTGGTAAACAAATATGGTTACTTGGATGTAGTTTCGTTGGACAACTAAATCAACGTATAATTGTTGTTTTTAAATTCTTATATATTAGAAATTCTTACATAACTCAAATAAGCAAATATATTTAATAGTCAAAATTTTATTGATTTAAAGGTTCTAAATCTTAGGGATATAACTAAATGACTATTTTGTTTATTGTGAACTCTATTTTTAAAGGGTAAAAAAGGCGTACGATATTTCGTTAAGGACCTTCATGCTTTTAATATACTATATGAATATCTATAATATATACGTGGTTTGCGAAAATGACATGTTTTTTTACAGACATTTTGGTCAGTGCACTCAACACATAAGAATCCGAAATACTTCTCTGATCCTGAAAAGTTTGATCCAACGAGGTTCGAGGGAAGTGGACCTGCACCCTACACATTTATACCCTTCGGGGGAGGACCTCGGATGTGCCCTGGAAAAGAGTATGCTCGACTGGAAATACTAGTGTTTATGCACAATGTGGTGAAAAGGTTTAAACTTGAAAAGGTTATTCAAGATGAGAAGATTGTGTTCCATGCTTCTCCTGTGCCAATGCATGGCCTTCCTGTTCGTCTTCTGCCTCATGAAAATTAACTGATGTATTTCATCTCAGAAAGTGAATCATGTTCTTGTTTTAATTAGTTTGAGCAAAATTAAGAGATATGACAATCGTTTTATATAAATCCTGAATAATTGTAATACTAGTATGACAATAAGTTGTTGCATTCAAATTATAGGGATATGTTTACCTTTTGTTACCAATTTATATCAAGATTGTGCTAGTGAAAATTTAGTATGAGATTTCCTAGCATGAATCTGAATTTAGTCGGGTTTCAATGCGAATACTAAGTGAGAAACCAAAAAGAGAAAAAGAATAAGAAAATATCAATCATAATCTACATCAACTCGAAACATAAAAAAAAAAAAAATAGAAAGAATACTAGCTACATATTGTTTTAAAATAAATACTTTTGAATCTTGAAACATGGGTCGTTGTGTGAATATACAATTATGAGTTTAAACATAGCATGTTTGAGTATAAAACTTTATTATTAAATAAAAAGAAAAGATTAAATTAAAATATTTGTAAATTAAAAAAAAAAAAAAAAA